TTCAAACCCACCAAAATAACAGATGCCTCCGTAGTTTAGAGCGGTGTATTTTCTTTGTGGATCAATATCTTCAAAAAGAATTGGACCCTCATCAAGATACACCTTAATACAAGTTTGGTTTTGAACTACAGTAACAACATGCCATCTTCCACAACAAAGGGAGTATTTACTATAAATTAGAGGGACAGAAATTCTTTCTCCAAGATTAACTACAATTTTTAATGTTCCATTGGCAATACCAAGAGCAAGGAAATCATTGTCTTCATCTTCAGCTTTTCCCATCCATAATATTAAGCCTTCAGTTTGATTGGTAGTAAAATTTAAAGAAATGCGGCTCTGCTGGAGGTCTCTTTTTCTGTAGTGTGGGTCTATGTATTTGATGTAGGAGTTACCAACAAACTTTGCTGTAAAAAATGTGATTTTTTGGTCACAGTACTTACCTGACCACCCCAGTGCGCATACACAGATATATGAAAATAAAATAGGTTCAGGAATACAGAGAGCTTGAGACCCACACCTGTTTTGTGAACAGTAAATAGATTGTTCACATGTATTCCCTACCCACTGCTGTGGGCAAGAGCAAGAAAATCCCAAGTCTTCAACCTGACACGTTCCGTTATTTTTGCACACCGTGTACCCACAAGCTGTTCCATCGCAGTCACCTACGTTGGCTCCATCTTTTGGGTCGGTCACAGTAAGTTTCAGTTCTCTGTTATTTATAACAATTTCTCGTATACAGCCACTGAAACCTGTGGGCTCATTTTCTGTTGCCATTGAATTGACAAGATTTAGAGAGGACACTCCTCCAACGAAAAAATCTGTGTGTGTGTCTAGAGCATTCATTCCAGCAGTAGCTTTCTGAGTAATGTTGACACCGTCCAGGTCCAGGTAGCCCTCATTACCGACTCTTCCTGCTCTGAGAGAATGCCATGTACTTCCATCTGTATGGACTTTCTGAAAAGTCTGCAGGATGACTGTCTTGTCTCCAAGATTGAAGCGCAATTGTATAAATCCGTTTACTAAGGATATACATAGAAAGTCACCTGTAGATAACAGTATAAAATAGAATTTTACTGTTTAGAGGAAGCTCACTGAGCAATAGCATATCCTTTAGGATCCTCATGCTCTCATGCCTGCACTTCCCCAATTCAGTAGCTCAGTTTCAGTGGCCTTGTAGCGTTGTTATATTTAAATCATATAAATGTAAATGTTCCATGATGGCCCTTCTCATGGTAACTTCCTTCATCCCCACTCCCCCATGGAAAATGAACTCATGAAGTTTTCTATTTTTCAAAGGAAAAAAAAAAACTTTATGAAACGGTCTGCTTTGGTGCAGGGACTATATAACTGTTGGGGAAAGGGAGAGGTAGGATCACTTTAGCAACGAAAGAATGCCTGCTGGTGTTCCTATGAAAAAGAATAAAGTTCTGGCCGAGTTAATTGCTAAAATAATCTGAATTTCCGTATGCTGAATAAAGGCTATTGGATTTGTCAGTTGAATGTGCTGAAGAGTGTCTATACCAAGCATACTCTTGTTTTCCCTGGAGCATCTTTTGCAACTGGGTTGTTTTGATAAGCTGGGTTTTGGTGTTTTTTCCCCTCACCGTTCTCCCCTATTTTTTATGCCTCTTCTGAAGGCCTCCATGGCCTAAAAGATGAGAATGGAGTTACCTTTTTTGTACTCTGCTTCTGGCCTTACAGGCAATGTAAAATGAGAGGGTATCACTTTGAACTACGCTACAAACGTGAAGAAGAAAAGTTGGGAAAGGTTAGGAAAGAGGAGCTGGAAGGAAGATATGTAGGGCAGGTATAGAGGTTAACGGGGAAAGATGACAGGGAGGCAGAACAGGACAGTGTTGTAGCCCCTGTGCAAAGAAGGCATTGATGTTCAGATTTGATGTTTATCACTACTGTAATCCATGACACCTACGCAATGTGCAAGTGAAGGTCGCATTTTCTAACTTCCTGATGTTTACTTTCACAATTTAACTTGTTTTTAGTATTACTTTTGGGAGTTGCAGGTATAAATTTCATTTATTAAATTTGTTTAATAAGTTTATTAAAATTGGATGTAAGCTTTTTTCTCTCTTTTTCTAATAGTTAACAGTAAAGCTTACATTTTCATGTAATATTTTACTAATGAAGAAATAGCTTCAAATTTGGAAAGCAGAATTTTCCTAATGATTCAACATTCTCAAGGATGGACCTGTTAGTAGAATTAATGAAGTTTTCTTTACTCCAGTTGTAATTTTTGAGTAGATCTGATCTGTGAATTACATTCTCTTTATTGGAAGTTAAAAATGAGTGGCTTAACTTACTGGAAACTTACAGAAGACATTACAGTTATACTTCTCTTTAGAGCAGTTGTCCAGGTTTGCATTCAAGAGGGGATGGAGAAGTTTTGGTTCTAGTGGCAGCTGCAGCGGAGGTGCCCAGTGCCTTGCCTTCCTGCCTTGGGCACGGCAGAAGGCTGAGGAGAACGCTCTACCTTCTGGCAATGCCGGCCCAATCATTGCAGGGAGCTTCCTCCCAGTTGGCTAGTTCCTATCTGGTTGTCGTTAACACTTCGTATCTGTTTTACTTAACTGCCTTACCTGTAAAGTAAAACATACGTGTTCTTTTTGAGTACCTTGTTTGTTTTCTTTTTTTTCAGAATGTGGGTATTTTTCCCTTCCTGTGTGTTTCCTCTTGCCAAGTGATGTGGCTTTAAGCTTGTTCAACTTGCCATCATGTACTTCTCTTTCCTGATGACTGTACTCATCATCTTGTTTGTTGGAGCAATGTACATAACCTGCTTATGTCTTTTTTGTTTTTAATCAGTACCTCAGCCCTAAGGTAAGAAAGGAGCATCAGAAAAAGTTTCTAAACTCCCTCTTTGGCAGACTTTGTCATCTCTCTGACCGAGACATGCAGACTTTGCGTCCTCATTCTTTGCTGCCTAGGAAGAAGGAAAACCTCAGCTTGGAGCTTGATGGCTCATCTGGCCTGCAATCAGGAGCTCGAGTGTTTTTACAAAACACAAAAGTGTTTTTACTACTGAATTCTTCCTCTCAGCTGTCTCAGTATGGGAGGTCATGAAGCAAGCTACACTAGCTGCCTGTTTTTCTAAGATAGGGTGCTGAGTACACTGCTCAGGCCTGTCCCACAAAGCATTAATTGGGGCCAAAGATTTTTTTGAGGAAGCTTGCTTTCGTTAGGCTTGAAGGCCCCTCAGTTTTTCTAAGCAGACTTTTGGACTGACCCCTACACTGCGGAAAATACAGTCTACAAATAGGACACGCAACCTAGCTTCTATATTTTCAGTTGTTTATTCAACATCTCTTGACTAATATGGATAATTTATCTTCATCAGTACTCTTACAAAACTGGAGAGACTATTGAAGCAGACATTCACATTCACTATTTTTGTTGTGTACTTAAGCCTTTGTGCAACCTGTTGGATGGTGTGCAAAGGCCTGTAAGCCAATCTGTCTCAATAAAGTGGCATCCTTCACTTTGGAAATAGACTATTGTAGCTTCACTTTGGCTTGGAACTACAGCATGTCAAGTCACTGGGTACTGAAAACAATTTTCAGTGGTCACAGCATTCAGTTGACTTCTGATGCACTTCCCTGTTTCTCTAATCTTCCCTGTTTTGTCAAGATAAAGTAAAAAGCTTTTTATGGCCAAAGGGCTAAAAGGATTGCTTTCCTGCCTTCTCAGGGGAAGGGGGCTTTACACCTGGTGTTGCCTTAAGCAAGGAACTATGCTGGACTTAAAACAGCACCGGTACTTGCAAATCCAACTCAGAGTTTCACTAAGTAAGTGCCTTAAAGTTAAACCTGTTCCATCTCAGATGAAATGGTTCGTCTCTCCATCCCATGGTAGAAGGCAGCACTTCCAAAACAGGTATCAGTGTTTCTTCATCACTTTAATTTTCAGGGTTTCATAATGAACATGCACAAGTCTCACCTGCTCCCATATCAGATGTTAGAGTTCATAGAAGCCAAGTGAACTCTAGGTCCTGAACAGTTAGTACCTAAAACTGGGAGTTAATGAAAGGTTTCTTCTAGGCTCATCTGACAGTTATTGTGAGATCTGGACTATCTGTGACAATACCTGCTGATATGACTTCTTATGACAGACTCTGAATCCATCACAAAAAATTGCAGGCGGCTTATTACTCTGAAAGATGCCCTGTAGCTATACTGGTTACGATCCAACAGTAAAGTTTTAAATTCTTGCAATGCTCTTTCATTTTCAGCCTCTGTCTAGAAATACAGATGTGTCCGTATATTCCTAAGTCATCACAGGAAACTCATCTGCATGGTAATGTGTCAAAGCTCAGTATAGTTAGAAATGCATATAAGGAATGTTTTCAATCTATTTTGAGGCATCCTGTTCATGGAGAAGCACTACAGTGCATATTGAATTAGATGGTATTAAATTTGGACACCTGAGTTGGAAAAAGATCTCTGCAGTTAGTATGTTCACTATTTAATATGCCTAATGGCAGAGTATTTCCTAGGAGGACTGAATACGCTCCTAGAGGATCTCAGGCTGACAGACCATAGGACAAATGCTACTTTTAATATTCCTCTTTCAAGTTCTTTTGCCCATAATGACTCAGTCTACTCTAGTGCTCAGTGTGTGTGCATAAAAGGCAAAATCTTTATTTACCAGTTAGGGTACTGGGGCACCTGTGTTTATTTTTATACCTCACTGCAAATTAGTGTGCACTATATGCCAGATTTAATTTTGAGCTCTTGAATGAGGAGTTACTACATTGACACTAAGGAGGATTTCCTGTTAGTTTTTAAGGCTGACAGGGCTTCCAGAGTATCCTTTTAAGTAACTTTAGAAGCAGTAGATGTGGTCTTCTTGTGAGTGGCATCTACCATTTTGATGCAGTTATTTGGCCACAGGGATATAGAGACGCAAGCATCTTTAAGGACTCCCTGTTTGTTAGAAACTCACTGATCAGTTCCTGGACTTCTCAAGGTCTATGTTCCTTTACAAAGACTTGTAAGACATCTGATATTTGGCGTTTATTTTTTCTTTGCTTCTAAGCAGAAGCCTCTACACTGTAATATTCCGCTGGGGGCAGAGGCCAGAGGTGAGCTCAGTGCCCCAGCAACCTCTGCAGGGTAGGTGTCCCAAGAGCTCTAGGCAGTGATTGCCTGGTTACAGACACCTACGAACTCTGGTCCTTCAGCCATTTTGGAGCACTGAGACAGCATCTCTGAATGTACGTTTGATTTTATTATGAGACACTATGTTGTCAATGAGTGTTACAGAAATGTCAGTATGTTTCATGAACAGTAATTTCTACAATGACTATTTCCTATTGCTAAAGGAGAAAAGTTGTTAGTGATTTATCCAGGGTTTAAGAAAGTTAAGTATCTACGTTTACATGTTCTTGTTCAGCATGTTGATTACAGTTGACCTTATTTCAGCCACTGACAGGGAAAAAAGGTTGGTAACACTGAGTCAGTCTTGCAGCTATTTTATTCTTAAGATTACCATCCATACAGGGTTTTTCTGCTCATTCTGCGTGGGCTGTCTTGGGGTTTTATCAAAGTTACCAGTAGGCACGATCCATTTCCAGTGTCAGTGACTGGTTGAGGAAAGATTAAATGATGTGTGATGGAACGGTCTTTGGTCTTTGCAAGCAGTCTAACTTTTCTTGAATACCTCAGTATTACAGTGAACACTTGAACCTTTAACCCTCATAGACAATTAGCATTCACAGGAATCATTCTCAGTTAATGAAAGGGAACTCTCTTGCTCTAGGTTGGTTTCAGTATATGCTAATTTTCATTCTAAGTTGACCCAGGTAAGCCACCATAATAAGATGCCTGTCTCTCCAACGGTAAGCCACCATAATAAGATGCCTGTCTCTCCAACAGTATTATAGTCTCTTTTTGGTGTGATGCATCCTATAACCATCATAGCTCCACATGTATCTTCACTCACTGCTCTCTCCCGCCTTATTGAACTCAGGTCACATTGCTTTCATTCTTCTTTTTCTCATCATCCTTTTCTTCTTGGTTTACCTTTCACCCTGCTATCCTGTACCATTTTCCATGGACCCAAATCACAGCCTGGTCCTATGCTGTGACCCTTTACAAAATCTTCCAAAAGCAAAGCTTTCCTTGTCTAGTACAGGGTGAAATAGCCACGTCAGCCTTCAGCTGAACAGCTGTGCCCCAGGAAGGCAATGCATTGTGGGCCCCACAGAAGAAGGAACCTAACTGACCAACAGCTACCCTTGACAGGTGATCTCTAGACCATTTCTAAGAGTCAGAACGAAGCCCAGGACCAGGGAAGGGAAGCAAAGGAGGGGAGGGGAACAGATATGAAGAGACAGAACAAGGGAACAAAAAACAGAAAGAAAAGACAAGCCATATTCCTACCCTTCTGCAGCCCCTGGACTTCCTGCCACTAATTGCTAGCCAATACTTCAGCATGGTTGAAACTTCTGTTGTTCTCAGCTTCAAATCTGATAGCTTTTGTTGCCCTCCTATTAGCTATAAGTTTGGGGGTTTTTTTTTGGTAACCTTGACGCTGTATTTGTCATGGACTGAGTGCACACACAGTTACATATCAGTCAGCTGACAGGTTATAGCAGCTTGTTGCAGCTATTGTCACTTGATCTTTTATCTAGTGATGGCCATAGCACGGTGCCTTTAATGCCGTGGTGTTCATTTAGAGGTGCTACTCCGTGGACATGCTTTCATGGGATTATTACAAAATATTCTACTCCATGTATGGAGCCAGAGACCACTTGTTCTCAATCTTACATTAAGTCAAGTCTGTGAATCTCTCGAATCATGTAAAAATCACTGTGACCACAGCTGGATCCTACCTTCCCCTTGGAGCATCTTCCCAGAGCAGAAGGGCACACCTAGGATCCAAAACAGCCCTAGTTATGTAGTGATGTGCATATATCTAGAAGGGGTGGGCTACAACTCTCCTACAGGTTAGACTGTTCACCCTTGCCCTTCAAAAATGCTGCTGCTTTTGGTGAAGAAACCTTTCTTTCTGCTTCATTTAGTCAGCACTAGCACCCTGGCATACTTCAGCAGCTAGGAGACACCCTCATCAAGCAACCTTAATCTGACTGCTTCATTTTTGGTTTGCTTGACAGTGGCAGAGTAACAGATCGCAACAGTACTTCATACATGAAATGGACTGCAGGTCAATAGGGATGACCGTTCTGCCACAAAGGAAGCAGAACTGTCCCCTATATCCACTGCTAATTTTGTCCATGCAAATGATTCCAAAACTATCAAAAAAGCAAAAAGTATGTCCCTTTTGGCTAAGGAAACATGGCTGCCAAAAGAGAATACTCTTCTAAACGTGGGTAGATGGTCAATTTTTTTGTGACTAGGAAAACAATCCTCATTCTTATCTGGATATTCCAGGTATTCTGAGCATGTTCTAAAGATTTTAGTGCAATTCCATAGTGTGATTCAGTTTCTACAATAAACAATGTCTTATAAATCATGCAGATATCACACAACCACACTCTCCATCTCATTCTTATTTTCAGGCTTTACGTTTTTTTTTTTTTTTTTTTAAGCTGAAATTCCTTAAATTTCAGGAGTTAATGTTTCTAAACTTTTCAGACCAGGAAGGCAACACAACCTTGTTTAAGAGAGAGATCGCTGGTGTTGCAAATCTTGAGTATTAAACGTAGTGTAACTCACCCTATTCTGTTTATTAACCTAACTTACTTCATAGTCACCCTGTGCAACTGTTCTTTTCCATTTTCTCTGGGAGCCTTTCCTTCACCCTAGCCTGAACTCTAGAACAGCGCAGACAATCTGCAATTCCACCTTTATGAACAAGTGTAAAGCTTCATTAATGTTATAACTTAACAAAAAGTTCATGCACCGTACTTACTGCTTTCTACCTGGAGCGCTAAGGCCTTCAAGTATATAGAGTGGCCCTATGTAAATTATATTAAATTATATGTTGTTGAAGCATGAGTAGTATCTAGCTAACCCTATCTGAATTAAAGGCTTTTCAGTGGATTTCTCACACTTTCACTGGCAGAAAGAAGACGCACTACGCTTGAGGGAATGTGAAGTGGGCTGGCCTTCTACCAACACTTTGTGGAACTCCGTAAGAATGCTATATTATTTTCAGAGACCTCATTCAGAAACACTGCATATAACTGTGTGCATCTCCCACATCTTTACCTTCCCTGGTATAAGACAGCTAATTGAAGGGGTGGGGGGAGACCCTTTGTCTTCTATCTGCAAGTTTCCAAACTAAAACATGCATGCACAGCTCACTTGCTCATTTTTTCAGCTTGTTAAAAACTAGCCACTTAAAATTCTGCCAGACTTTCAAATTACTTTCTTAGGAGCTGCACATAGGAATTTTACAAGACTTAAAGCCATGAAACACCTCCAGAAACAGCTGACAAGGCAAAAGAGCCTATGACTGGCAGAATTACAGGGAATTCTGCTAATAGAAAAGATGATTGGTAGGATGCCTTCTATTTTACACGAACTGTTTAAATGTATGTACTGAAGTAATTACACTCTTAGATGAGTGGAGACTGGAACTAGCATACCAACATTTTAGTGGAGAGTCTATCCAAATATCCACCAGTTCTAGAAACATATATATGGTTCTTTGAAAAGAACAGAACACGAAGGAAATGTTTCAAGGAAAGCCTCATGGCCTCAAAGCCTTTCTTCATCAACTAAACCTTTTTTGCTGATGGGAGGATTTTTTTTTTTTTTTAGTGAATGGTCCCTTGCAGTTGGCAGGGAAAGTCCTGGTGTAGTGTTCACTTTTGGTAACAAGCCACTATATAACTGTGCCACTGTGACATACGACAACTCAGTCTCATTCCTAAATTAGTTGCACAGTCAGAGTTCATTTCTTTTACAAAAATAGCATTGTCTAGTGAGAAAAAAGAACAGAGCATAGAAAAGTCCCAATTATTTTCTATTAAACAAGAATTTTAGAAAAAAAATCTTATAGTTTGGACAATCAATTTATTAAATCTTACATAATTTTGTACAAGAAAAGGTTTTATATAAAGTGCTTTGTAAACTAATCCACAACCAAAAGCTCTTTCACATCTGCTGGCTGCTAAGAATACTTCTCAGTCTTTCATCAGTCTAATTCTGTCTGGATTTGACAGGATTATATGAAGGCAAATGTAAAGAGCCAGATGATTAGCTTCTCCTAAATCTTTCAGAACTTCAGCATAGTAAAAATGGGAGTAGGAAAGTTGTAAAGCAATCTAATTACTCTATAGATTATTGCTTTTGTTATGTTTTTGTTTTGAAATGAAATTTGCATGGCTCTAGACAGAGATTTTAAGAAAAATACTCCATCCTTTGCAAACTAAACATTCACCACTGGCAATAGAACGAGGGCTTGTTCATGCTAAACCACTCCTAGCCCAAGTTAAACAAGCTGCAGAATTTCTTTGATGCTTCCAAAGAGATATTTAATTTCTTTATATGCTAGCTGCTTCCATGACCTTTGACTAGTCTGGCGCTCTTTTGAGAGAGAGCCTTTTTTCTCTTCTATTTTTCATGGCCCATGTCATAGTTTAGCTTACACAGGAGGGAACTATTCACAAAGCATATCAGAATTTGGCCTGTAAGGGATAAAATTATAAAGGATTCATTGTAGAAGACATGAGTTCTTTGCAAATAAATGTATTTGTATTTCAGTTATGCCATATATTTTTCTCTGAAGCTGCTTCTCCATATGTGGCTGCAATTAAAAAAGACAAACAGAACGTACCAGCACTGTATTATGACCATATCAGTCTTACCTAACTGTTAAAATGCCTGTGTAGAGAATAAGAAGGTGGTAAACTGGCTATACCTGTGTGTAAATGTGTGTGTCTGAGTATGTTTATTGAAGAGTCTCGAACCTTTAGGCTTTTAACTAATTATCAGACATCTTTAGATTTCTTTGTTCAATATTTTTTTCTTAATATAAAGCCCTGTTTTTGCATAACTTATTACAAGTGGAAAATTTCACCGCTGCTCCAAGATCATATGTTAGGAATGATGTGTGAGGCTTCTGTTCAAAAACATGCAAGACCACAGAAATCCAGCATAAAAACTGTTAGCAAAGTAGATGATTACAACAAATTTACACCTTAGAGACTAAATTTAAAATGTATTTACACTAGTTAGCAAATTATGCTTTCTTACTTTGACTTAATGTTTAAAATACTTCTATAAATAGCAGAAATACTGTATTTAGATATATACTTTTTTTCATTCTGCATATCTGGCAAATGCAAAACTTGCATGTTTTGCATGCTGCACCAGCAAACTTCTCAGCGTTATATAATAAACTCCTGATGAACTTCACTAACTCTCTCATAGTGAATTCACTTTCCCTTGACTTCAGTTTGATTAGTTTTTATATTGCTTTGTTTTTCATGATTTTAAAAGACTGGCCAAACCCTCAGATTGTCAATCCTGGCATCATTGCACCAAAGCTATGGGAGCAGTATCAGTAAACACCTGTTGAAGATCTGGTTACAGTTACTCCTCAGGTGAAAACTGTTTGTTGAACCACTTCATTAAACCTTTGTTGGCCTCGGATTCATCCGAAATTTTATTCCATGTGCTCATTTGCATGCAATTGATTATTCATACAGTTCAAAAGCCAGTCATCATGGACAATGAATTTCAGAGACTGAACACTTGAATCACTTGTATGTACTTCTCTCCTTTTTCAAGAAAGCACCTGGGTGTACGATGCTAGCCCACTGGTGATTGTGCCTACCTGACTGAGAGCTCAGACGCTGTGCGGTGTAGAACAGGATGCCATCTGGAGAAAGAGGCTGAAACTGTAGCTTGATGTGGGTCTTATGTCGGATATAAAAGGGTGCAAATGACATCCATGATGATTCATTACTTCTGAAAGATGGATCGCTAATGGAGACAGCTGAAAAATAGAAGAGAAAATACCTTCTGAAAGATATTTTGCGAGTGCTATGTTATTGTGGCACCAGTTGTCTCCAGATATTTTGCATAGTTCACAGGTGGTACACATAATACTTTCAATTCTTCCCTTTCCAAAGGCTAAAAATAACCTAGATACAGAATAAAACTTACATAACAGCAAATCAATGCCATTTCATTTTCTGGGTGCCTGATTTTCATTAACAATCAAGCCCATAGTTGTCACATGAAATAAATGTAATCTTGTTAGTATTCGCTTTCAAATAAATGCAAGTATAATTTTCATATTGTTTAAGAATTCAAATGCAACGTACTCTTCCAGGATTCAGAATAAAAAATTACTTCTTCAACATACAGACGAAAACTTTAGTAGAGGATTTTTTTATGAACTGCTTTGTATGCTGCAAGAGTGTACATTTTTAAGAAGAATGTGTTCATTACTGGTTGCTGATGCTTATTTGGGATAATCACACTCAACTGCTTGATAGTTCAGATTGTCCTATATCATACTGAAACAGAGCACTTTCACAAAATTACAGCAGTGCTATAATACACAGTTTTGCCCTATACACAACTTCATCATTCTGACTTACCACTTCTCTCAGCACTAACTGTTCATAAATAAGGCTTGCTAAAGAGATAAATGACTATACTTTTCTATTCTGCTTGTGTCACTTGGAACCGCTTCCAATTTTTTTCCACTATAAAGATATTATTATATATTTGAGACGTAATTATGTTAGCTATAAGATAATTCATTGTTATTATAAATTTATTGTTATTAGTTTCCTGTATTTGTTGTTTGAGGCACCATATCAGAAAAAGTCAAGCTATTTAGACGTGCAGAGTACTTTTAGACCTCTGCGTGATAAGCACTTTTTACTACTTAATTAACACCAGAACTAAATTTCTGACCCATAAGC